CCGGAGCAGAGTCCACCGCCAGAGGTGAAGGTGGCAGGTGACTGCACTTTGGCTCACCCGGCCTCTGTCCCCAGAGCAGCTCATGCTGGGTGCCTCGCGGGAGCCGGTGGGCCGCTGGGACCAGGACTATGACCGGGCCGTGCTGCCGCTGCTGGACGCCCAGCAGCCCTGCTACCTGCTGTACCGCCTCGACTCGCACAATGCTCAGGGCTTCGAGTGGATCTTCCTCGCCTGGTCGCCTGATAATTCCCCTGTGAGTCCTGGGGACCCCTGCTCAGCTCCAGGCTCAGGGCCAGTGGAGGAGTCCAGGGGAGGCGGGGGTGGCTTATGGGGAGGTACTCTGGCTTGCCGCTGGTGAGCTGAGGCAAGCCATGTGAGGTCCGGCCCCTGTGCTAGGAGCTGGGGGCACAGCTACCAGAGGCCCCTGTGCTTGGAGCCTGGGGTTTCTGAGTCCTGCTGGGGCCCAGCCTGGTTGTTGGAGGTTGAGTGGCTGGGCTGGGCAAGGGCTCCCCCTGCTGGCGGGAGCCACTCTGCTGTGTCCCACTTTGGTGCTGCGCCCTCTGCTGGGGATGTGGGCACAATGTGAGCACCTGTCCAGAGGGGTCTCAAGGTTCGGCCCCTGCCCTTCAGGTGCGGCTGAAGATGCTGTATGCAGCCACACGGGCCACAGTGAAAAAGGAGTTTGGAGGCGGCCACATCAAGGATGAGCTCTTTGGGACCGTGAAGGTAGCCTGCCAGGCCACATATTGTGTGGGGTCCCAGGGCAAACCAGGCTGGGGGCCGAGATGGGAGGGGCTGGGGAATCCCGGAGCTGCACCCTGAGGTGCCCATATGTGCATCTGCATCCACATCCAACCCCACAGGATGACCTCTCCTTGGCTGGGTACCAGAAGCACCTGTCATCCTGTGCGGCACCCGCCCCGCTGACCTCAGCGGAGAGGGAGCTGCAGCAGATCCGTATCAATGAGGTGGGTGCACCCCTGAAACCTCTGCTTCCTGGGGGGGGGCGCACCCTGTTTCTGTAGCGAGGGCCTCCCTCACCTCCCTGTGCCCCCAGGTGAAGACAGAGATCAGCGTGGAAAGCAAGCGGCAGACCCTGCAGGGCCTCGCCTTCCCCCTGCAGCCCGAGGCCCAGCGGGCGATCCAGCAGCTCAGACAGAAGACCATCAACTATATCCAGCTGGTGGGTGCCACTCCTGCCCTGGTACACGCTAGTGGGGCACACCGTCCCCACCCCTCCTCCTTACGTGTGTGTGCAAACGTACTTGCAGCCCCTGCTCCCACAAGCCTGTGGCCTGGCTGCCTCAGATCCCCTGCAGTTCATGGAAGCCACTGCCTGAGCACCCTTCCCACCCCCGTGTTCCTGCTTTGTGTCCCCGGGCCTCTCCTCTGCCGGCCCCTGGGGTCACCACACCCCTCAGTCCCCAGCCCTTTCCTGACCCAGCCTCTCTGAAGAGCCCTTGACCACCTCCTTTCCCAGGCTTTTTGTTGTTAATTTAAAAGTATCTGGGAAGTAGAGAGAGAGGCAAAGAATTGCCAGCTGCCAGCCCACTCCCCAGGTGTCTGCAGCAGCCCCCAGCAGGAGCCGGGAACCCAAACCACGTATCCCACGTGGGTGGCAGGAACCCAATCACTTGACCCGTCACGGCTGCCTCCCGGGGTCTCCATTGGCAGGGGACTAGAGTCAGGAGCCGGTGCTGGGATTCAGACCCCGGCACTCCGGCGTGGGACGTGGGCATCCTAACCCGCGTCACCAGTGCTCGCTGGGTGCTGAGCCCGGGGCTGCCCGCTTCCAGCAAAATGAGTCTTCTCTCCCAAGGCACTGCCTCCCAGACATGAGACCCTCAGCGCCATCCCCTCTGCCGCCCTTGCTGGGAGAGCATCTCTAGAAGAGCCTTGAGAGGCGCAGGATCGGGGCTGGGCCCAGGGCGGCCTCTGCAGAGGGCTTCCCGGGGCAGCCTGGCTACCCGGGGCGGGCTGGCCAGGAGATGGTCCCAGCAGCCTTGCCCTTTGGCCAGTCCCGCTGGAGGCGGGTGGGCCTGGGCCTTCCCCCTCCGGGTGCCCTCATGCGTCCCTTCCCCTCCCCCCGGCAGAAGCTGGACCTAGAGCGGGAGACCATAGAGTTGGTGCACACGGAGCCCACAGACGTGGCCCAGCTGCCCTCGCGAGTGCCCAGGGACTCTGCCCGCTACCACTTCTTTCTCTACAAGCACACCCATGAGGGCGACCCCCTGGAGTCCGTGGGTGAGTGGCCGCCGCTGGGCAGCAGCAAGACCGGGTCTCGCCGGGTGTGCTGCTGTGGGGCACGGGCTCACCTCGCCATCCCTCCCCGCCCCCCACAGTGTTCATCTACTCCATGCCGGGGTACAAGTGCAGCATTAAGGAGCGCATGCTCTACTCCAGCTGCAAGAGCCGCCTCCTGGACTCCGTAGAGCAGGACTTCCAGCTGCAGATCTCCAAGAAGGTGGGTGCCTGGCCCAGGGCCCTGCCACCCCGACTTCCCCATGGAGTCCCGAGCAGAGCAGGACTTACTGCTGCCATGCTGGTCACATGGGGCACCCGAGGTCACCTGCATGGCCTAAGGCTGCTTGGGCTTGCCACCGAGTCCTCTCCTTCTGCTGGGAGTCTCAGGCAGGCACAGCCCCCAGTATCTGGGTTCCTGGTGGGCGGGGCATTTCTGGGGGTGGGGTCTGGGAGGGGATCCTGGGTCAGGGTGTGAGTGATCACTGGGGTTCCTTCGAAGGTGGGGGTTGCCGAGGGCGGTAACAGGGCCGCCGCCATGGGGGTGACCCCTGCCCTGCCCCATGCAGATCGAGATTGGCGACGGGGCCGAGCTGACGGCCGAGTTCCTCTACGACGAGGTGCACCCCAAGCAGCAGGCCTTCAAGCCGGCCTTCGCCAAACCCAAGGGCCCCGGGGGCAAGCGGGGCCACAAGCGCCTCATCCGCGGCCCCGGTGAGAACGGGGATGACAGCTAGGGCGCTGGCCGGGGCCGGTGTGCGTGGACTGTGCGGCTGCCCGCCTCCTCCCTCCTTTCCAGCCTGGCATCCAGGGATGGCTCCCTGTGGCGTGGACGGGCCGGGGGCCGCCGGGCTGGCGTTTTTGTGACCCCTCTCCATCCCTGACCTTGCTGTCACCTGTGTGCCCGAGGTGTCTAGGGGCCCTGTCTGGCCAGCCGGCTCCAGGGAACAGACGGGGGCTGGGGTCCGCTGGGGCTGGGGCAGGGGTCACTGCAGGGCAGGGTGGTTGAATGCTGTTATTTTCTAAAGAATAAAATATTTTTAAATCAAGACCTGTGTCTGGCTCTGAGCGACCACCTCTGGCCTTGGGAACGGGCAGCGCTGTGCACACACCATGCCCTCCGCCAGCACGGGAGGGGACGGCCGGGTGTGGCAGGCGGCATGGGCCCTTCGGGGCATGCAGCCCCCCGCAGCTGCTGTGATGCGCCGCCGTCTGACACTCAGAGGCGTAAAGAAAACACAAGCTTATTCCTTATCACTGTGGGGCCGGCAGCATGGGGGGCTTCTCGGGGCAGTCCGCATCACAGCGTCGTCCGGCTGCTGGCAGCTACCTGTCCGTCTTCAGAGCCAGAGAGACCTGCTCGGACCTGAGCAGAGGCGGCTGATGCTGCTGTGGCCACAGCGCCCTCGTTCTAAGGGACGCTGGTGTTTACACGCATTCTCCCCACCTCCTCTGCCTGTCTCAAGATCTTCCTGGCCATCATCCTGGCCAAGTGCCCTTATTGCAGAAGGAGACAGCTGCAGGCCCCCAGGACAGGTGGGGGGCCCCTGAGGGGACTCCATTCAGCTGGCACCCGGGGTGGAGGCTGGTGAGTGGACACCAGCGTCTCGGTGTCTCCTGTCTGGCATGTGCTGAGCTTGTGTCTCTAGGACATTGGCCTGCCCCAGCGACCTGCTCACCTGCCCTCAGGAGCGTGGCTGCTGGAGGTGGGTGGTCGGGGGCCTGAGGAAGTCTCCCTCTGGCTTGGGGTTCCCCAGTAGCAGTGAGGGGAGGCCCTCTCCCGTGTGGGCACCGGTCTGGTCCCAGCTGCTCCTCTTCTGATCCAGCTCTCTGCTTATGGCCTGGGAAAGCAGTGGAGGGTGGCCCAAGACTCCCTCCCCCCTTTTTAGAAAAAAATGTTTAAGCTATTCTATTTATGCCAAGCAACTATCTTTTTTTTTTTTTTTTAAGATTTATTTATTTATTTATTTGAAAGGCAGAGTTACAGAGAGACAGAGGCGCAAGGAGAGAGAGAGGGAGAGAGGTCTTCCATCCACTGGTTCACTCCCCAGATGGCTGCAACAGCCCAGGCTGCACCAATCTGAAGCCAGGAGCCAGGAGCTTCTTCCGGGCCTTCTACATGGGTGCAGGGGCCCAAGGACTTGGGCCGTCTTCTACTGCTTTCCCAGGCCATAGCAGAGAGATGGATCGGAAGTGGAGCAGCCGGGACTTGAACTGGCGCCCGTATGGGATTCCAGCACTATAGGTGGCAGCTTCACCCGCCGTACCACAGTGCCAGCCCCAGAAGGCCTTCCTCTCTCTAACACTACCTCCCAAATAAATAAAAATCTTTTTTTAAAAAATTAGTAATTTATTTGAAAGACAAAGTGTGGGAGACACAGATCTTCCATCCCAAATGGCTACAACAGCTAGGACTGGATCAAGCCAAACCTAGGAGCCAGGATATCTATCCAGGTCTCCCCTGTGAGTGGCAGGCACCCAAGCACCTGGGCCATCATCTGCTGCTTTCCCAGGTGCATTGGCAGGAAACTGGATCGGAAGTTGAGCAGCTGAGACGCGAACATACCTTCTTACATGGGATGCTGGCTTCACCAGCAGTGGCTTGACCCACAATGCCAGTCCTGCCCAGAGCCTTTCTGGGGCCCTGCTGAAGTCCCTGGGGTTATAGAGAGAATAGCAGGGACCCTCGCAAGGCCCGGAGCAGCCTTGTTCTTGCCCGTTCCCAACACTGGTCCCCACCTAGGCAGGGAGACAGCACCATGGCTCCCATGCTCCTGAGCCAACTGGGCGCCTGGCATCCCCGGGAGGAGGCCTCGGAGGAGCAGGGTGGTGGATGTAATGCCCTGCCTCCTCCCTGCACAAACCCTATTTCTTTCCTTTGCCCAGAGACTCCCTCTCTGTGCCCGCTTAAAAGCTGCTGAGTAGCTGGCGCTGTGGCTCACTAGGCTAATCCTCCGCCTTGCGGCGCCAGCACACCAGGTTCTAGTCCCGGTGGGGGCACCGGATTCTGTCCCGGTTGCCTCTCTTCCAGGCCAGCTCTCTGCTGTGGCCCGGGAGTGCAGTGGAGGATGGCCCAGGTGCTTGGGCCCTGCACCCCATGGGAGACCAGGAGAAGCACCTGGCTCCTGCCATCGGATCAGCGCGGTGCGGCGGCCATTGGAGGGTGAACCAACGGCAAAAGGAAGACCTTTCTCTCTGTCTCTCTCTCTCACTGTCCACTGCTGAGTGTGGGGCACCCACAGACTGAGCAAGCACTGGGCACCTACTACGTGCTGGACACCACTGGGCCCTGGGGGTACCGACAGAAGATCCCTGCCTTCAGGACACTGGCCTTCCAGCAGACGAGGAAGGCCTGTACAACAAGCCGTGAAGAAATCGGGGTGGTGGTAGCAGTAAAAACAATCAGTCCTACAGCTACAAGGGAAAACAGGTGGCGTACAGGCTAGGGAGGCCCCAGTGCGGGCTGCGAGGTTTGTTAACAAGGTCAGGGAAGGCTTCGTGGAGAGGGAGAGCAGGGACTTGACGGAGACAGAGGAAGGGGCCACATGAGAAGGTGGGAAAGTGCTTAGAGACAGAAGGTGCAGGTGTTCAATGGCCCTGAGCCGGGAGAGTGCACGGGTTGTCCAGGCGACGGCGAGGTGGCTGGAGACAGGTCCTGTAAGACTCTGGTGGCCACTGCGTAGACTGTGGCTTTGACTCCAGCGGCACCTGTGGGAGGGGTCTGAGCAGAGGAGGGACCCCGGGCGTCAGGTCTGAACAGGTCTCTCCAGAGGCTGTGGGGCATGAGAGCAGCGGCAGGGCCATCAGAGAGGAGGTGGCAAGGGTTCAGGCCCAGGCCAGAGACGCTGGGGGCCCAGGCAGGATGGTGGAGGCGGAAGTGGAGGGATGAAGGGGCCAGGTGGAGATGCAGCGTGGGAGGGCCGAGTGCGGAGGCTCCGCCAGGGTCCCAGCGGGGCCAGCTGTGCGGCCGCCCCAGGAGCCATATGACTGTGCTCCGCTGGCACCAGGGGAACCAGAAATGCAAAAGAGGAGTTCCTGTTCCCAGCAGAGGTGACCAAGCCGTGGCCAGGCAGGTGAAGCCCCAGCCTCCTGCCACGCGGCTCTGCCCCTCGGGAACACAAGCACCCACAGAGCTCCGGGGCCAGGGCCCCTGGCGGCAGCCTCTGTCCTGACAGCACCTGTGGGCAGGTGCACGGGGGGAGGGGAGAGACCTCCTGGGATGTGGGAGGGCCCTGGCGTGGGGGGCAACACAGCTGGCCCCATCTGGAGCTACCTGGAGATCAGACCTCTTGCTGACCCAGGGGTGGGCTCTGGGCCTTCAATCTGCCCTGGCCTCCCACAGGAGATGTGGGCCCCTGCGGGAGTGGAAAGAGGAAGGGGGAGGGGCTGCTTGCCACTGGCCTATGCAAATGGCCTCTGACTCAGCACGCCCCTCTGCTCCCTCCGGTGAGCAGGGGACAAGAACAAGAACGAGGACACTGCTGTAAAGCTCACTTCCTCTGAGAGCTCTCCCCCGGGTGCGGCCGCCCCGACCCCTGGCCAGATCCCCGACGAGCCCCGGCTCCGGTCATGGTAGGACGGCAGCTCTCGGCTCCCTGGGGAAGGGGCAGAGGGTGGGCCTGGCAGCTGTGGGCAACAGTGAAGGGGGCTGTCACCCACGTGGCCCAGGGGACGCTCATGGGACCCCGCGGGTGCCAGAGCAGAAGCCTTTCTCTGAGCCGTGGGACCCATGCCCGTGTGGCGGGTGAGGGGCAGAGCCTAGGGCTCTGTCGGTGGGTAGCAGGGGCTACAGGCCCAGGGCTGCCCAGGGCCTGACCCTTTGCTGCCTGCCGCCCCTCTGATCTGTTCTGACCACAGCAGGTTTAGGGCTCTCAGTCCAGGTGAGACGGACAGAGGCTGAAAGCTGCAGAGCCCATGGTAGCCCGGGGCCCTGGGTGGCAGCCTCATCCCTTATTGGGTAGAGGGCGGTAGGGAGAGGCTGGTGGTGGGGCAGAGAGGGGGTTTCAGGGTGGCTGGAGGGAAGGGAGCCAGCCACCACCTTGCTCAGGAGGACAGAGGAATGGTCCCAGAGCAGGGAGGGGCAAGAGGGTGAGAGGCCCAGCAGGCCTGAGGGCTGCTTAGCAAAGAAAGCTCCTAACGCTGGGTCTGCACCCCAGGCTTCAGCCCTGGCTCTGAGCCGCGGAGCTGGCTCGGTGATGGAGCGCACGTGCTCTCAGGCCTGGGGGGTGGGGGTGGGGGTTGGGCTGTGCAGAACAGGCGGAGGTGGAGCTGGGGCCTGGACCCTCACCCAGCCCCCTCCTCCCCACAGTGTCCCTGTCGAGGAGCCCCGTGGCCCCTGTCGCTGCTGGTGCAGGCCATGGTGCTGGCTGCGGCCCGGGCCCTGGGCACCCTGCCTGTCTTCCTGCCCTGCGAGCTGAAGCCCCACGGCCTGGTGAACTGCGACTGGCTGTACCTGAAGTCCGTACCCCGCTTCTCGGCAGCAGCACCCCACGGCAACGTCACCAGCCTTTCCCTGGCCTCCAACCGCATCCACCACCTGCGCGACGCCGACTTCGCCCAGCTGTCCAGCCTGCGGCATCTCAGCCTCCAGTGGAACTGCCCGCCAGTCAGCCTCAGCCCCATGCGCTTCTCCTGCCACATGACCATCGAGCCCAACACCTTCCTGGCCGTGCCCACCCTGGAGGACCTGAATCTGAGCTTCAATGCCATCACTACTGTGCCCGCCCTGCCCAGCGCCCTCGTGAAGCTGTCCCTGAGCCACACCAACATCGTGGTACTGGACCTCACCAGGTTTGCTGGCCTGGATGCGCTCCGCTCCCTGATCCTGGACGGCAACTGCTACTACAAGAACCCCTGTGGGAAGGCCCCTGTGGTCTCGGGGCCCCCGCATGGCCTGGGCAACCTCACCCACCTGTCACTCATGTACAACAACCTCACGCAGGTGCCCCGCGAGCTGCCGCCCAGCCTGGAGTTCCTGCTCTTGTCCTACAACCGCATTGTGCAACTGGAGCCTGAGGACCTGGCCGGGCTGAGGGCCCTGCGCGTGCTGGACGTGGGCGGGAACTGCCGACGCTGTGACCACGCCCGCAACCCCTGCGAGGAGTGCCCCCGCCGCTCCCTCTCCCTGCACCCCAACACCTTCAGCCACCTGAGGCATCTGGAAGGCCTGGTGTTGAAGGACAGCTCCCTGCACACGCTGGACCCCAGATGGTTCCACGGTCTGGGCAACCTCACCACGTTGGACCTGAGCGAGAACTACCTGTACTTCTGCATCACGGACACCACAGCCTTCCAGGGCCTGGCCCGGCTGCGCCGACTCGACCTGTCCTTTAACTACCACAAGAAGTCGTCCTTTGCCCAGCTGCGGCTGGCGCCGTCCTTTGGGAGCCTGCTGTCCCTGCAGGAGCTGGATGTGCACGGCATCTTCTTCCGCTCGCTCAGCGAGGACACGCTCCAGCCGCTGCTCCGCCTGCCCCAGCTCCGGAGGCTGCACCTGCAAACCAACTTCATCACCCAGGCCTGGCTCGGCGTCTTCGGGGCCTTCCAGGGCCTGAGCTTCGTGGACCTGTCGGACAACCGCATCAGCGGGGCTTCCGGGCCGGCGGCCACCGCGGGGGAGACAGGTGGCACGCAGCAGGTCTGGCTGCCGTCCGCTGACTGGGCTCCAGTCACTGGGGGCGGCCGCGGCTCTGAGGACTTCATGCCCCACTGTAGCAGGTTCAACTTCACCTTGGACCTGTCCCGTAACAACCTGGTGGAGGTCCAGCCGGAGGTGTTCGCAGGGCTCTCGAACCTCCAGTGCCTGCGCCTGAGCCACAACAACATCGCGCAGGTAGTCAACGGCTCGCAGTTCCTGCCGCTGACCAGCCTTCAGGTGCTGGACCTGTCCCACAACAAGGTGGACCTGTACCATGGGCGCTCGTTCACGGAGCTGCCGCGCCTGGAGGCCCTGGACCTCAGCCACAACCGGCAGCCCTTCAGCATGCGGGGCGTGGGCCACAACCTCAGCTTCGTGGCCCAGCTGCCCACCCTGCGCTACCTGAGCCTGGCCCACAACGGCATCGGCGGCCGCGTGTCCCCGCAGCTCCACAGCACCTCGCTGCGGGCGCTGGACTTCAGCGGCAACATCCTCAGCCGGATGTGGGCCGAGGGAGACCTCTACCTGCACTTCTTCCGAGGCCTGAGGGGCCTGCTCCGGCTGGACCTGTCCCAGAATCACCTGCACACCCTCCTGCCCAGATGGCTGGGCAGCCTCCCCAAGAGCCTGCGCCTCCTGCGGCTCCGAGACAACTCCATGGGCTTCTTCAACTGGACGGCGCTGGCCCTCCTGCCCAACCTGGAAGCTCTGGACCTGGCAGGAAACCACCTGAAGCTGCTGGCCAATGGCAGCCTGCCCAACGGCACCCGGCTGCAGAGGCTGGACCTCAGCTGCAACAGAATCCGCTCTGTGGCCCCCGGCTTCTTTGCCCTGGCCGTGGAGCTGCGACAGCTGAACCTCAGCAACAACGCCCTCCAGACCATCCGCTCGTCCTGGTTCGGGCCCCTGGCGGGCGCCCTGCAGCTGCTGGACGTGAGCGCCAACCCTCTGCACTGCACCTGTGGCGCGGCCTTCCTGGACTTCCTGCTGGAGGTGCAGGCTGCCGTGCCCAGGCTCCCCAGTGCCGTGCAGTGTGGCAGCCCGCGCCAGCTGCAGGGCCTCAGCATCTTTGCTCAGGACTTGCGCTTCTGCAAGGATGAGGCCCTCTCGCGGGCCTGCTTTGGCTTCTCGCTGCTGGCAGTGGCCCTGGGCCTGGCCGTGCCCATGCTGCACCACCTCTGTGGATGGGACGTCTGGTACTGCTTCTACCTGGTGCTGGCCTGGCTCCCCTGGCGGCGACGGTGGGCTGTGGACGCCCTGCCCTACGATGCCTTTGTGGTCTTCGACAAGGCAGAGAGCGCCGTGGCCGACTGGGTGTACAACGAGCTGCGGGGGCAGCTGGAGGAGCGCCGTGGGCGCCGAGCGCTGCGCCTGTGCCTGGAGGAGCGGGACTGGCTGCCTGGCCAGTCGCTCATCGAGAACCTGTGGGCCTCAGTCTACAGCAGCCGCAAGACACTGTTTGTGCTGGCCCACAGCGACCGGCTCAGTGGCATCTTGCGTGCCAGCTTCCTGCTGGCCCAGCAGCGCCTGCTGGAGGAGCGCAAGGACGTGGTAGTGCTGGTGCTGCTGCACCCGCCCGCCCACCGCTCCCGCTACGTGCGGCTGCGCCAGCGCCTCTGCCGCCGCAGCGTCCTCCTCTGGCCTCGCCAGCCCAGCGGCCAGGGCAGCTTCTGGGCCCAGCTGAGCACGGCCCTGACCAGGGACAACAGCCATTTCTATAACCGGAACTTCTGCCGGGGGCCCACAGCTGAATAGCTCAAGAGCCACAGCCGGGAGGGGCTGCACCTCCAAAACTCCTGGCCTCCCTGCCTGGCATCCCAGCCTCTCACAGCTGCCATACAGCAGGCACTTAATAAATGCTGCCACGGAAGTGAAGGAAAAATCGCCACGGAAGCCAGGTAGAAAGAGCTTTTCCAAACAGGGCAGGTGTCGGGCGTGGCGGTGGGGGTGCTGCCTGGGTTTGCGTCCCGGCTCAGCTCCTGACTCCGGCTTCCTGCTAATGCGGGCCCTGGGAGACACCAGGTGACGACTCAAGTAGTTGGGTCCCTGCCACCCACAGGGGAGACCTAAACTGAGTTCTCAGTTGCCAGCTTCGTTCTGGTGCTGCCCCAAGCAGTTAGGGGAATGGGTCAGTAGACGGGAGTCTCTCTCTTCTCGGCCTCTTTGTCTCTCAAATAAATAAACAGAGTTGGGAGGCTGCTGGGAAGCATGACTCCAGCTGCTGCCTAGGAAGGTGAACCCAGGTGCACGACTGCTGGTTTCCAGCACAGGTCACTGCCCCGAGCTCACGGACGCAAGACGCACTTCCGGAGGCCTCACACCCCTTGAATTATGGACACCCCCTACCCCGTGTCTGCAGGCTCTTCCCCATCTCCCATGAGCGCCCCCGCCACCTGGCCCATTTAAACCTCACGGCCTCCCTGCCTTCACTGGACCCAGACCAGTGCGATCCGAAGCGATGTCTCCCGAATCACACTTCCTATGGCCCCCATAAAAGTCCTTCTGACCTCGGTAGTTTCTACCTTTGGATGGGTCCACACTGCCGACAGCCACACGGCTGTCCGAGGCGTGAGTGGCACCAGAGAAGGAATTCTCCAGGTGTCCATGGAGCGAAGACAGGCAGCTGCCTGGGGGAGCTGCCATCGCACAGGACAGTCTGCGGGCCCAGGCGTGGCCAGCGGCTCAGGGCAGCCTAGCTCACGGACGCGTTTTCTGGGGAGTCTGGAAGTGGTCTCCTTCCTGGAGAGCAGGGGCAGATCCTCCACCCCTCCCTCCATGTATTCACACGCATGCGCGCGTGCGCACACACACACACACACACACACACCTACCTGCTCACACAGGGCCAAAGGCCAAAGCCAGTGCTCTGCTCTGCTAGTCCCAGGCACAGCTGGGTAGCCGGGCTGTCGTATATTGCTCTCGGGTGCCTGTCTCCATCACCTCCTGGGCTGAAAACGTCTTGAGAGCAGAGACCTTGCAGGTCTGGTTCATTTCCAGCTCCCAGCAAAGTCCCCAGAGGAGGAAGCCCAGGAGAACATTCCTTCCAACGCCTCGGGAAACGTAAGGCGAGTCCCGGGGACTGCACCCTCTGGTGGCCGTGTCTTTGAGCCCAGCCTGAGGGTGGGTCCCTCCCTGGGGCACGGTGCTCTTGGAACCACAGGGGATTGCAGGGTGAAGTCACCACCGGTCTCTGTGTTTCCACCTAGAGGTGGGAGCTGGGTCTCTGATCTGATATCAGAGGGAAGCCTCAGTGAGTGGCTTCCTGCCTACAAAGGTAGAGACTGGCTCTTGCCTCCCAAAACTGCAGGAGCTTGGGCTGGAGTCCCAGCCACATGTGACCTGGACCATCTGTGTGTTTCAAGTTTTTTTAAAAAATTTACTTTGAGAGGTAGAGCAACAGAGAGAGGGAGCTCCCACCTGCTGGCTCACTCCCCAAATGCCCACAATGGCCAGGGCTGGGCTGAGCTGAAGCTGAGAGACAGGAAGTCAGTCAGGCTTTCCACATGGGTGGCAGGGACCCAGGCACCGGAGCCGTCACGTGCTGCCTCCCAGGGTCTGCAGTTAGAAACTGGGCCATCATGTGGCACATGGATATCCTAACTGCTGGGTCAAACACTTGCCCCCTTTTCCTACAAAGATTTGTAAAACCTGGGGGACAAGTACTGTGGCTCAGCAGGTTAAGCTATTGCTTGGGCTGCCCATATCCCATGTCAGATCTCGGTTCTAGACCCAGCTGCGCCATGCTTCTGAATCAGCTCCCGGCTAATGCCCCTGGGAGGCAGAAAGTGATGGCCCAAGCGCTTGGGTCCCTGCCCCTCGTGGAAGACCAGGATGGAGCTCTGGGTTCCTGGCTTTGGCCTGGCCAGGCCCTGATTGTTGGGGGCATTTGGGGATTGAACCAGTGGATGGAAATCTCTCTCTCTCCCTTTCAAATAAGCAAATATTTAAAGATTTGAAATTTTATATAAGGGATAGAGAGAGAGGAGAGAGGTTGCAGTTTTTGATAGGCCACATAGATTTCAGTGCACAGCTGGGAGCTCCCTGCCCGCCGTGTGGAGACCGCCCATCAGAGTGTGCACCCCACTAGCGTGTGTGGAGTCGTGGGTAGTGACAGAGCCGGAGCCCTGGAGGAGCCTTGTCCTGGGCTGGCAGCCTGCACTGTCCTCACAGCCACACCTGCTCTTGAGCGACAGCAGAGCTAGGCCTGAGCCAGCAAGAGAGTGGAGCCATTGTGGCTGGCCCAGGCCACTTCTAGGCCTGCTGCGCTCAGGCATCTGGTGGGAGGGCCGGCACTGGCTGCAGACAACTCCCCCTGTGGCCTGGCTGTGGCCAGCTCCTGGGAGGGGGTGCTTTGTCCTCCTTCCAGAGAATAGCTATGAGGCAAGTGTAGGCCATTTTCTTCTTTTAACAGTCTTCTTAGAAATAGCGTTCATTGTATTTGAAAGGCAGAGAGAGACAGAGACAGAGCAAGAGCGAGATCTTGCCTCCACTGATACATTCCCCAAATGCCCACAACAGCCAGGGCTAGGCCAGACTGAAGCTGGGAGATGGGAACTCCATCCTGGTCTCCCACATGGGTCGCAGGGACCCAAGCACTTGGGCCATCTACTGCTGTTTTCCCAGAGTGTGAATTAGGAGGAAGCTGAAACAGGAAGTGGGAGCTGGGAATCCCACATGGGATGTGTGTGTCTCAGGTGGTCTCACCAGCTCGGCCAGACACCCACCCCACCTTCCTGTTTTTGGCCTGGGAGCAGAGCTTCTGGCGGGTGAGGTCCCCTGCTCTCTGCCCATCTGGAAGACAGTAGGAGGGGCTCTGGCTGGTATAATTGCCTTGAAAAGAACACAAGAGCAGCTGCTCCCCCAGGCTGGAGTCTCAGGGAGTCTCTTGGTGGCCCTGAGACTCTTCTGGCAAAACCAGAGCAGGCAGCAGGGCGCCGTCCAGGGCGCCACACGTGCTCACAGGAGGCACAACTGCCTGCCCACTGGTAGCCCTAGGTAGCAACCCCCCCACCCCCACGCTCCTGGGCCTGGTGCTTTGGGGGCTTTGGGGGAGAGAAGGGCCCTTGGAGATGAAGTCTCAGGACTCGGGTAGGAGGGAGGCCCATGGGGCTGGGCTTGCGTGAGTCGGAGGGTCCATGGCTCTGCACCACCCCTGCTCTCAGGCCCTGCAGGGCTGGCGGGAGGAGGCGGATCCACTGCTCGGCGTCAGGCAGGTGCCCGCCGGGCTTGAGGCTCTGGCCTCTGCTCTCCCAGCCTTGCCTGCCTGTTAACCCTGGAGGCAGAGGGAGAGAGCTCTGACCTGACTGCGGAGCGCTGACCCTGCCTCTGCCATCGCGGTTGTGGGCAGTTTGCCTTCTAAGGAGGGTCTCGTGGCCGCTGACGGTCTTACCACCCTGAGCCAGCTCCCATCTGATCGCCTAAGCTAAGCAGGCTCAGGCCAAACCCGACGTGGGCGCTCACCTGTCATACATCTTGGTCGGTGAGGGGGCGAGGCCAGAGCCACCTGCAGGCTGCTGTTGGGACTCGCGGGCACACGCATGAAAGGTTGGTGTGCAGGACCTGCAGCTGGTCTGGCTTCTGGGTTTTTCCCTTCACCTGGGTGGTGTCCTCCCGGGCCAGGGCTCCCTGCCCGCAGCACTGACAGCTCCGGAGGCATACGGGGTTCAACCCAAGGCACACAAAGCTGGGGCCAACCTCTGGCCACAGGAGCAGCACTGGGGCTCCTGGCAAGGCCTGTTTGGCGTTGGCCCCTGGGGCATGAGGCTTGGGAGAGCCTGAGAGGAGGAAGGCTCCATGCCAGGAGTCTGCCTGCTAAGACCTGAACACACTGCCTGCGCTGTCCCCGCAGGGCCCTGCTGGGTGATGACACTGGACAGTCTCATACCAGAGTCGCTCAGGAAAGCCCAGTTTCTGGGGTCGGCACCGTGGCGCAGTGGGTTAAGTCACCACCTGCTGATATCCCAATGGGCGCCAGTTTTAGTCCCGGTTGCTCCTCTTCCAGTCCAGTGCTGTGGCCCGGGAGGGCAGTGGAGGATGGCCCAAGTGCTTGGGCCCTGCACCCGCATGGGAGACCAGGAAGAAGCACCTGGCTCCTGGCTTCGGATCAGCACAGCTCCAGCCGTTGCGGCCATTTGGGAAGTGAACCAATGGAAGAAAGACCTTGTCTCTCTCTGTCTCTCTGTCTCTCACTGTCTGTAATTCTACCTGTCAAATAAATTAAAAAAAAAGAAAATAAGGAGCATGCGTGCTTTGAGAGAGATCTTCCAGACACTGGTTCACTCCCCACAATAGGCAGGTCTGGGACAGGCCAAAACTGGAAGCCTGGAGCTCAATCGGGGTCTCCCATGTGGGTAGCAGGGACCCCCGTCCTTGAGCCCTCACCTGCTGCCTCCCAGGGTGCACATTAGCAGGACGCTGGGTGGGAAGAAGAGCTGGGGCTTGCACCCAGGCACTCCTACGTAGGACGTGGGCATCCCAAGCTGCATTTTAACCTGCACCACATGCTCACCTGCACTGACTTCCCAGTTGTAAGCAGTTCACTGGCCCCATCTTTTGCCCCCAGATCCTTCTATCCCTGACTGTCCTTGTTTATTAAAATTTTAAAAATTTATTTGAAAGGCAGAGTTACAGAGAGAGAGAGAGAGAGAGAGAGAGAAGAGAGAGAGAATCTTTTATACTCCAAACAGCTGCAGAAGCCAGGGCAGAACCAGGAGCTTCATCAAGGCCTCCACATGGGTGCAGGGGCTCAAGCACCTGGGCCATCCTCTGCTGCTTTCCCAGGCGCATTAGCTGGGAGCTGGATTGCAAATGGAGCAGCCAGGACTTGAACCCGCGCTCATACAGGATGCTGCAACATGGGCGGCAGCTGACCCTGCCGTGTGCCCCAGCCTCCCCTCTCCCGATCTCCAGGACAGAGCCATCAGGCCTCGCTGCCCCAGCAGGTTCCGAGGCTGGCAGAGGGAGAGTGGGTCTCCCTAAGCATTCGGGCGGGAACGGGAAGGAAAGGAGGTGGCGAGGGACCTGGGCGTGGGAACACGCGGGACAATGGAAGGCCTGAGCGCGCCTCGGAGGCAGAGGGCTGGGAGAGCTGAGGCGTTCCCTGAGCAGGAAGGAACCGATCGGGGTTCCGAGGTGAGGTGACTTCCTCCGTGCCTGTGGCCTGCCTGGATGTATGGCTTTATCTGATCAGACTGTGACTCAGCCGGGTTCTCCCGGTTCTGGTCCCACGAAAGGCGTGGACCCAGGAAGTGCAGTGCACTCCCAGGCTGCTGGGAAGGGCGTGCAATGCAAGTCTGACCAGAGAGCAGGAAGCAGAGCTGCCCTGTCCAGAGCTGCAAGCCCGGCGGCCAGGCTGGGACGCTCTGACCTCCTGCAGTGGGCTTTTCTTCAGCAAACCTGTTTTTCTTTCTTTTTAAAAAGATTTAAGTATTTGAAAGGCCGAGTGACAGAGGAGGGAGGGAGGGAGGGAGGAGGAGGAGGAGAGAGAATATATCAATATTCCATTGGCTGGTTCTCTCCCTAAATGACTGCAACAGCCAGGGCTGGGCCAAACTGAAACCATGAGCCCGGAACTCTATCTGGGTCTCCCATGTGGGTGCAGGGGCCCAGCCTCTTGGGCCATCTTCCACTGCTTTTCCCAGGCTCGTTAGCAGGGAGCTAGATCGGAAGTGGAGCAGCCAGAACTCACAGTGGCACTCCGATATGGGATGCCAGCGTTGCAGGAGGTGGCTGAACCCACTGCACCACAATGCTGGCCCCTACACCTATTCTTTCTAGTTCAGTCGACCTGGGAGTCATCACTGGGGCCCCCTTTCATTCTGCACACGCTAGCTCAGCACCTACTGCATAGCCAGGGCCTACCGGGCAGCAGGTATTGGACTGGACTTGCAGATAAAGAAAGGAGCACACAGGTCCCTGACCTCAGGGAGATGACATTGCAACAGGATGACAGCACAAACGATTTACCAGGTATATTCAAAGGGCAGCACAGTAGGGGCCGTGCCCAGACAGGAATGCCTTGGCCACTACACGCCCAAGGGACTCTTGTCCTAAGGGAAGAGGTAGGAAAATTGAGACAGAAAACGCAGCTCACACTGAGGCCTGGAAGCTGGAGAGGACCTGGCTCTGCGGCCCCAATTTGGCCTGTGCAGCAGAGTGCACGAAGGAGGGCAGGACAGGAGCGAAGCCCGTTGTCAGCCTGCCTGGGGCACCTGGTCTCGGATGAGTGCAGCTGGAGGGGCCGAGTTTCCCACAGGGGAGGGACATGCTGTGTATTTCTCCAAGGTCTCTGTTGGGGTGGAGGAAGCATGGCTGTGGAGGCAGCAGGAGGAGGGGCCCGGCCTGGGATGGGTTTTTGAGAACCCCGAGGACTTGTAAAGGTGCTGGTGGGGAACACGGAGAGAGGCCCAAGGACCCAGGGTGACAGTTGGTGCTCCCTGCCTGCTGTGGGTCAGGTGCTTATCTCATACCCAGTGGGCAGTTGTCCAGAGGGTACTGAAAGCCCAGGACTGAGACGGATTCCATGGGCTGGGGTCGTGAGTGTCGGGTGCAGTTCAGACAAGCCCAGTGGGCCGTCAGCATTCTCAGGAAGACGCAGCCAGACCAACTGGGAAGGACCAGCTTGGGAAGCAGGAGTTGGCAGCCCAAGAGCCCAGAGGAGAAAGCTGTAAAAAAGCCAGGGTCGCCCGCCTCCAGTCCACTGAAATGCAGTGGAAGGCGGGCAGAACCAGCTGCTAAGTTTGGCAACACAGAGACTAGTGACAACAGCAGCCTCCATGGGGAACACGGAAGAGAGATTGACCAAGGAGGCTACACGAAGAGGCAGGACAGAGGCGGGAGGCAGCTGGTCTGGATCTTAGGTGAGGGGAGCTTGTGTGTTTTTTAAAAAAATTTATTTTCATCTATGTGAAAGGAAGAGCAAGACAGAGCTCTCACTTACACATTAATTCCTCAAATGGTAACAACAGCCAGGAGTCAGGAACTCCATCTGCGTCTCCCATGAGGTTGGCCATTATCTGCCTCCCAGGATCCATCAGCAGGAAGCTGGATGGGACACGACAGCTGGGACTTAAACTTACGATCCAGCATGGCGTGTGGGCGTCCCAAGGCGCGGTCTAAGCTGCTGTGCCACGGCCCCAGCCCCAGCCCCAGCGTGTGTTTTTTGGGTGGAGGACACAGCCTGCTGCAGGCGAGGAGAGTGTACGACAGAGAAGAAAGGAGATGGTCGTGGGAGCAGGCAGGCGGTGGTCACGGTGCAGTGCACAAAGCCCTTTACTTTGGCTGGAGGATGTGGTGAGGCAGACAGCCCGCCCCTCCTGACAGGCCTGACTTTCCCCAGAACTCCGAGGTCACGCAGGTGCGGGGGAGACAGCTGCAGCAGGTGGGGCGTTCCTGGGCGGCACCGAGGGCCCACACCACTCATGAGCAGAAAGCATGCAGCGAATCCGGCTGTTTCCAGGCCGTGCAGTGCTGGGGACTTGAGGCATCAGAATGGGAGGGTCGGTTGTTCCAGTGGCCTCCAACGCCATTATACAGTTTCTATTTCCCTACAATACAGGCTGAACTTAAAGGGAGGAGGAAAAAATCGCCTTTGATTCAGAAACCAACAGTGCAGAGACCCAACACTTAATCAAGAATTTATTTTCAGGACTGTTTGTATTCTAGATTAAAGTTTAATTAATTTACTTCATTTATAAAGACAACTGTGGTGATTAGCTGGTAGGACGATGGCTGGGGGTCAGGTGCGGTACTTGAGGTCACGCTCAGGCCTGAGCAGACACCAGCTTGCTCATGCCTGAGAAGTAGGATTTCTCTCTCTCGCTCATCACTTCGAAATGCAGTGGCCTCCTGCAGAAGTTACACTCTGCAGAGGAATGCGGCTTCAGGTCCAGCCCCACCTGCTTCCACGTGGCCAGCAGATTCTCTGTGGGGAGCAGGTTTCAGACATTGAAGGGAGTATGAACGACAACCTGTGTCCACACAAAAGCTCGCATACGGTGTTCACGGCAGTGTCACTCCTGACTGCCACACAGTGGCAACCACCCCAGCGCTGTGGCATATCGGGTAATGCCACCGCCTGCAGTGCCGTCATCCCATATGGGTGCCGGATCAAGACCCGGCTGCTCCACTTCCGATCCAGCTCTCTGTTATGGCCTGGGAAAGCAGAAGATGGCCCAAGTCCTTGGGCCCTTGCACCACAATGGGGACCCAGAAGAAGCTCCTGGCTTCTGGCTTCGGATAGGCCCAGCTCCAGCAGCTGAAGCCACTTGGGGAGTGAATTAGTGGATGGAAGACCTCTCTCTCTACCTCTTCCCCTCTATAACTCTGCCTTTCAAATAAATAAATAATAAACAAATAAGTAAATAAATACAATGCAGTCAGTCCGTACGACAGACTTGGCAATGACAAGAAATGCTGTGCTCACCGCCACCATGGCGTGGGTGGACCTGAAAACCCGAGACTGTGAGCAAGCTGGGCGCTCACACGGAACGTCCATGGCGACCGAGGGCAGCCCAGCGGTTCACAGGGCAGGAAGGGTGAAGGGGAGTGGCCACTACTGGGCTCAGGGTTGGTCTCTGAGGTGATGGTTGCATAACATGGTGACCTTACCCAAGAAGCCCTGAACTGTACACTGTGAGAGGGTGGAGCTTCTGGTACCGGAAGTTTATCTCAACAGGCTGCAATAAGCAGACATAAAAATAGAGAAAGAAACAGAAGCCAGACCTGGGCTTTCTTTCACAGGCCTTCCAGGAAAAAGCCGCTCCAGTATCATCACATGGATGCTATCTATCTATCTATCTATATAAAATTTTAAAGCTAGAGCAACAGAGAGATCATCCACTTCCTGCTTCACTCCCCAAATGCTCACAAACAGCTGGCGTTAGGCCAGGTCAAAGCCAGGAATTCCACCCATGTCTCCCATGTCAGGCAGGAACCCAAGGAGCTGTCTCCCAGGCACTTCGGCAGGGGGCTCTGTCAGAAGCGTGGGGTAGCTGAGACTGGAATCAGGCATCCTGAGAGGGAATGAGGGTATCCCATGTGGCAGCTTTACCTGCTGTACCACGGCGCCAGCCACACACACTGGCTCCTCTAGACGGATTGCTTCTAAGGGAAGCCGAGCAGGCTCAGGAGGGCTGAGGGTGACATGTCTTTGGGGCAGGGGCAACCTGTGGCTAAAAGCCCTCTCACCCCGAGTCTCTGCCCTTAGGCTGGACAAGGAGGTGAGGCTGGGGCAGTACAGAGCCATGAGCAGCACAAAACGTGGAGCAATCACTCTCACCAGAGGGGTTTGGCGTGTGTAGTTCAAGGCCCACATGACCTCAGGGAGTACAATGGCACAGACAAGCGTTAGCCGGACTTTGGAGGGCCGTGGAGACCAAAGCCTGCCACAGCTGTCACTGTGCATGCTCAAGTCGGGGACAAGGGCACCGTGGAAACACCAGGCAGATTAGCAGGCTACCCCAGAGCTGCCCAAATGACTGCACCCCTTACAGTGAACCAAACGCCTAATGTCACTCAGAGACCTGCAGCCCCGAGGGCTGCCTGGGAAAAGCAGCAGCAGAGGGCACACAGCGTGGAGCAGCTCCCTGGGTACTCACCGAGGAAGTAGCTCATCATCTGTGGCGTGTGGTGAGGGGTGGGCGCGATGCGCAGGAGCTCCTCCCCCCGCGGCACCGTGGGGTAGTTGATGGCTTGGACATAGATGTTGTGCCGGCTCATCAGCTCGTCACAGACTGCTGTGTTTTTGGCGGCATCTGCGACCTACGTTTGATGGCAGGAGGAGGCAACGTTAGAATGACATGGACCACGTCATGGCAGATTCTGGTGAACACAGGGCCCCCAGGGCTCAGCTCGAAACCAGACTGGAGTGGTGGAGGCAAGCCTGGGGGTCAGGTCAGCGCCGCTGGGACACCTGCCACTTCAGCGAGGCCCAGATAGGCTGACGGGCCTCGCCTGGGAAAGCACCGCTCCTGGTCACACCAGCTGACCTTTGTACAGGATGCAGGCGGGGCCTCAGAAGCTTCGGGGATATTTCCAGGAACCTTTTGAAGTCCCTCATTTGTGTAACCCAGCTTTGGTCATGGCAGCTGTCATCAATTATACTAACAGCTGTGATGACCAAGGGGCCACCACCTACAGTGGAAAAGGCAAAACATTTTGAAATTTACTAAATAGAAACTCACATTTCAAAGCTTGCAAGCTCAGACTTCTAGATCTTTCCAGATACAAACTCTGTGCTCACTCTGAAGGTTAGTGCTCTGGAGTAGGGACCACTGGCTCTAGCACAAGGGGTTCAAAGGCTTCCTTCTCACTGTGAAGTCAGCCAAAGGCGGAGTCACGGCAGAGGGCTGCAGCTGCGGCCCCCACCCCAGAACACTCGCACCTTGTCCCACCACAGCAGGGCCATTACCCGCACAGGGATGATGTGACTCGGGCAGTGCACCACCGGGAGGCCAGCATCCATCAGCATCTGCCTCATGAGCTTGACGTTGCGCTGGTGCTGGCGGCGCAGCGCCCGCCCCTCGGCGCTCTTCAAGATCCGCACAGACTCCAGGGCTCCAGCCAGCAGCATGGGTGGCAGGGACGTAGTGAAGATGAAGCCAGCCGCGTAGGACCTCACGGTGTCAATCAGTGAGCTTGTGCTGGCGATGTACCCTCCCACACAGCCGAAGGCTTTGCCTGGGGGGAGACAGCACCATTTATTTCAGCAAGAGCCTCTGAATGCACATGGCGAGATGCTGCAGAGCCTCGAATTTGCTTCTCCCTGCTCCCCCACCCTTTTTTTTATTTAAAAGGCAAAGATAGAGATCTTCTATCTGCTGGTTCACTTTCCAAATGGTCACAATGACCAGGGCTGGGCCAGGACAAAGCCAGGAGCTTCTTCTGGGTCTTCCATGCAGATGCAGGAGCCCGAGTACCTGGGCCATCTTCTGCTGCTTTCCCAGGCACACTATGGAGCAGCCAGGACTTGAACCAGTGCCCTTACAGGATGCTGGCACTGCTGGCTGCTCTATTTTTTTTTTAAATTTTATTTAAGGTATACAAATTTCATGTATTTAATGTATACAGATTTAGGAATATAGTGATACTTTCCACCCTACCCTCCCTCCCATCCACGCTCCCACCCTTCCTCCTCCTCCCTCTCCTATTCTCATTCGTATCATTTTTCACAAAGATCTATTTTCAGTTAACTTTATACTCATAAGATTAGTCCTACACTGAGTAAAGAGTTCAACAAATAGTATCAAGAAAAACAAAAACACTGTTCCTCAGCAGTGGAGACACGGGCTGTGAAAAACCATCACATCTCCTCCCTGTCTTCTCTACTGCTTTCCCAGCTGCATTAGCAGGGAGCTGCATCCCAAGTGGATCCAAGACTGGAAGACAGGGGCACTCAGTTTGACACCTGCCAGTGTTGCAGGTGGCAGCTTAACCTGCTGTGCCACAATGCCAGCCCCAGGCTACCCATTTTTAAAGGGAAAAAGCTGAGAAAAGTGTTGAGAGAGTCTCAGCCAAATCACATGGCCAAGTCGGTGTACGACCAGGATCAAAATGCAGGCCAGCACCCCAGTGACCAGTCCAGTGTGTCTGAACATCAAGCTGCTAGCTCTCTTGCCAACATTTGATCCTTAGCTGCCTTTCCTACCCAGGTGAGCCACGCTGGCAGCGGCGAAGCTCCATCTCCCCTGCTCTGTGCGCTCTGGGGTGGGTTTGAGTGGTGGTGCCCGCACCATCCTCTCACCGTGTGCGTCACTCCTGGGGCTGGAACACAACCCCGCTAAGCCACCAACTCTTTTGGTTACTTAAGTAAGCACAAAACCTGACAATGAGTGTTTGCCAGATAAATAGGAAAACTCAGAACCTGTTAGGGCTGATTAGAGCCAGACTTGTTTTTCAGGGCTGGTCAAGTCCTTCTTACAATTCCGTGTCTCAAGTTTCAGGATTAAGGCCTCCAGAAGAGCACTTGAGATCTTAACAGTGCGTCCTGCAATTCACATTGTTGCTGGGACCACGGGCAGGGCTGGGCTGGTGTGAACTCCGACAGTGGAAAATTTCAGGACCCATCCTTTTCCCCCCCAAAATGGCTGCACTTGCAAAGAGCCCAGGTCAGGAGAGCCCCTTCATGAGGCTTTCACAGCCTCGACAGCACCCAAGGTCGCTCTTTCCCTCCTGTCCTGCCTTCCCCGGGGCAGCGCTACACCCTGGTGCTTCAGCCAGCACTGCTCTACCGACTTCTGCCGGTCTACAAAAGTCCTCCCACGTGCATAACGAACATGTTCCTCTCTGTAGGGCTCTCCAAGGCAGAGACGAGGTCTAGAGTAATGACCAACCCAGATCTCACTTCTCTTCTCCACACCAACTTCTGATGGAGGCCCCACTGTGTCTCCACTGGACTAACGAAACAGAAGTGCAGGGGTCAGCCCAACCCAAGATCGCAGGACAAGGGAGGTAGGCAAGCAGCACTTCAGCCCAGGCAGCACAGCCCCCGTCAGGACTCCCGGCACCTGTGAAGCATCTCCGGTATGACAAGGGGCAGAGAAGGGCCAGGCCAGGCCAGGCCAGGCAGAGACACTGAGCCTAACAGTGCCTGAGCCTAACAGCTGCTCTGGCAGAAAAACAGCACAGTCTTTTTTCTTTTTAATTGAGGGGCATGAGTGTGGGCATTCAGTTGAAAAGTTAAAGACACCTGCGTCCCACGTCGGAGTTCCTGGGTTTGATTCCTGGCTGACTCAGTTCCAGCTTCCTGCTAATGCATACCCTGGGAGGAAGCAGAGATGGCTCAAGCTTCTGCCACCCACGCGGGAAACCTGGGTTGAGTTCCTGGCTCCCGGCTCTGGCCCCAGCCCAGCCCAGCCTCGGCCTCAGCAGACATTTGGGGAGTGAATGTGGGTCAGAGCTCTGTGTCTCTCTCATCAATGAATAACTTAGGGGAACAAACAGAGCCAAGACTCTTGCACGGCATGCAGCTAGAGCCCCAGATACATCTGGGGTGTGCTCAGGTGGCTAAGGGATATTTCCATAGTGTTCAGCTGTGTGACTCTAAGCTGGGCCACCACTCTCTGGAACAGAAAAACACTCAAAAAGGGGGCCGAGGCTTTATGCTGTCGCACTGCCTCCTCACTAGATCCCAGTTCCCCAGGTCGTCTCTGGCCTTGTGAGGGCAGTGTGCCACGTGTACATACCAAGAGTTCCGGAAATGATGTCCATTTTTGGCATGACTCCGTCCCGATCACCAATTCCTCCACCTCGAGCCCCATACAGCCCCACTGCGTGGACCTCATCCACGAAGGTGATTGCTCCAAACTCATGGGCCACATCACACAGTTCTTCCAGGGGGCACACCGCTCCTAAGGGAGGACGGAGGCTACTCTGCAGAGCTTGCATTTCAGAAATTTCTCTTGGTTAGAGACAGAACAAAGCAACTTAACACTGGGAAGGAAATGAGCCTCCCTCAGTTTCTAAGTTATCTTGGGGTCTTCTAAGACCCTACAAACAGCCAGAGTAGAAAACCCAGAGTCACCCAAACCTATACAATATCCACTGATTACAGAATCCTAGCAGAGAGTGAAAGGAAAATAAAATGCAAAAGCAAAATGGAACAGCTTCCCGAGCAGCGCAGGCCCGGGTCTCACCTCAGGCCCCGCGGTGCCTCTGTTCAGACTTACCGTCCATCGAGTGCACGGTTTCAAATGCCACGATCTTGGGGAGCGCGGGGTCGGCCCGCCGCAGCAGCTCCCTGAGGTGGCCGGCGTCGTTGTGGCGGAAGATGTACTTTGGCACTCGGCTGTTGCGGATGCCCTGGATCATGGAGGCATGGTTCCCAGAATCGGAGTAGATCTCACAGCCTACCGTGACAGAAATGCTATTTATTTGCCATTAGCACCAACGACAGGTTGTTTCCTAGACAGAGACAGCATCGTCTGCCCCTGAAAATGCCCAGCAGGAAAAACATATCACGTGCCAGGTTCTTTATGACAAAATAACCAGCTTGTGCGTCTTCTCTAAGGAGGCCCAGAGGTGTGCAAAAGCCCTGTGGCAGCAGGCAATTCATCTACTTTTAAATCTAGTTGCCTTACTCCAAAATCAATCACAAGATAACTAACAAAACGATTAAGAGATTTCTCCAAAGGGGCTTAGAGCACAAAGCACATCTGAGGCCATTAGCTTAAGGATGTGACCTTTCAACTTTGGATCTTCCTGGAATCGCGTTCTAATGGAACTCATAGGTGCAGTTAGCATCTCACACTCAACCCAAGAACAAATGTCCTAGGTGCGACCATCACCCTCGCCTGAGAGGTTCTGATAAGCTTGCTCTCTTCTCAATATTCTTATTACTAAGAAACCCCCAAAGCTCTAAGGCACTCAGGCCCGGCTTCCTTACCTGGCATCATCTTAGCCAGGGTGAACAGGGTTGAGTCGTTGGCCACAAAACACGAAGAAAACAAGAGGGCCGCATCTTTCCCATGCAGGTCAGCCAGCTCCCGCTCAAGATCAACGTGGAATTTACTAGTTCCAGAAATATTCCTCGTGCCACCTGCCCCAGCACCGTGTTGTTTTAAAGTGTCCCTGTTTTATGAAAAACAAAACACACAGAAAATAAAGCTCATGGTTCCAGATGCTGTGTGAACTGTGAACTGATCTTTCTAGGACCCAGGAGACTGGAACTTAGGTTGAGCCAGGAATTCTCACTGTGAACCTGGGGCCAGAGCTTTTCACTGACTTCACCTTCAAGCCAGGTGGGACAAGGTGTCCCACTGGGGTGATGACAGATCTGCAGGGATCATCAGAACAAGTGCTCACTGTGCAGTAGCTAAGTACTTTGAATTGGCCAAGTTACTCTGTCGTGCAGTTTCTTTCCTCTGGGAAACACCATTCTTTTAAAAACATTTATGTACTTATTTGAAAGCCAGAAGACAGATAGGCAGAGCTTCCATCTGCTGGTTCACTCCCCAGATGCCTGCAACAGCCAGGGCTAGGGCAGGCCCAAGCCAGGACCTGAGAACTCCATCCAGGTCTCCCACACAGGTGGCAGAAACCCAATCACTTGAGGCATCACCATCACCTCCCAGGGTCTGTAGGGGCAGGCAGCTGGACTCTTGAGCCAGAGCCAGGAACTCAACCCAGGTACTCTAAGTGGGATGTGGGTTTCTTAACCAGTCTTAACCACCAGGCCAAATACCCACCCTGGGAAACATCATTCTTGCCAACAACACAGCATCTCAAGAACCAGCAAACTGGGGCCAGCATTGTGGCATAGTGGGTAAAGCCTCCACCTGCGACACCGGCATCCATCTGTTTATATCCTGGCTGCTCCACTTCCGATTCAGCTCCCGGTCAATGGCCTGGGAAAAGCAGCAGATGGCCCAAGTGCTCAGGACCCTGCACTCATGTGGGAGCCTCCTGGCTTCCACCTGGTTCAGCTCTAGCCACTGTGGTCATCTGGGGAGCAAACCAGCAGATGGAAGATCTTTCTCTGTCTCACCTCAGGCGGAGGCTCAACCTGCTAAGCCACAGCACCAGCCCCTCTATGAACTTTTTAAAGACCCTTTGCATACATGGATTTCAACATTTTTTGCACCAAGATAAACTTCTTTTAATTCCATTTTCTGTGAACTTTTAGAAGTACAGTTGAATATCTACACTGAATCTTGGACAGGACTCTTCTTAGCAAGGCTCTGATGGTTTGGCAAGCAACTCTCTCAAGCCCTGGCAGCCCTGGCACTCCTCCTGAGGGACGTGGAGGATGGGATCTGCCATCCTTGTTAACATGTCCTTTCGTACAGATAGAAGAGCTCGCCACATGCCCACAATGGCCAAGAGCTGAGAACTCAATCCAGTTCTCCCAAGAGGGAGGCAGGAACCCAGCCACTTGACCAACTATTACACCGTTGCTTCTCAGGGCATGAGCCAGCGGGAAGCTGCAGTCAGGGGCCGGAGGTGGTAACTGAATCCAGGTACTCTGATGTAGGACATAGACAACTTAACCATTAGGCTAAATGCCTGCTCCCTAACATGGCTTGTTTTTCTTCCTTTTTTTCTTTTTCTTTTTCTTTTTTTTTTTTTTTTTTAAAGATCTACCTATTTATTTGAAAGGCACAGTGAAAGAGAGGGAGAGATATAGATCTTCCACCTGCTGGTTCACTCCCCAGATGCCTGCAACAGCCAGCACTGAGCCAGTCATAAGCTAGGAGCCAGGAACTCCATCTGAGTCTCCGATATAGCTGGAATTCTACTACAGATTCAGCTATTGGACCTATCATCTGTTCAGCTCCCAGGTGTGCTAGCAGGAAGCTGATTTGGAAGATTAGCCAGGGACTCTGATATGGGATGCAGGTGTCCCAAGTGGTAGCTTAACCCAGTGTGCCATAATGCCCCCACCAAACATGTCTTTGTAAACTAGCTTTTCCCCTGGTGTGCTGGATTTGTATTTCTTCACCTACATCCACCAAGGATGTCTCTGCAAGATTTCCTGGTATTCAATGCACAGTTACTTGTGGAGTGGCAGGAAAAGAACTGGGCCCACAAGCTGGAACCCTCACTTTGAGGCTCCACCAGCACCTGCACATTATAATTTCTTTAAAAGTAACCTCTGGGGTGGGCACTGTGGTGCAGCAGGTTAAGCTACCATTTAGGATGCCTGCATCCCATATCCGGGTGCCTGGGACTGAGTTCTGACACCGTTTCCTGCTAATGTGCATGCTAGGAGGCAGCAGACGATAGTTCAAGTGCTTGGGTCCCTGCTACCCACATGGGAAACTCAGATGGAGTTCCTGGCTCCTAGCTCCAGGCTCCAGGCTCCAGGCTTTGGCCTGGCCCAGCCCTGGCTGTTACAGGCATATGGGGAGTAACCAGCAGATGGAAGATCTATCACTCTTTCTGATGTTTTGGTTTTCAAATAAAATTTAAAAATACATAAATAAACTTTAAAAAAAAGTGATCTGTAGGTATTTTCAAAAGTGAAGAAGAGAATTTTGCAATGGCACATTTTGAGCTGTTGCAAGAATCCCCACACACAAGATCCAACAGCTATAAATCATCAGTGCTTTGCCAAAGAATGCCGGTGGTATCTCAAGTCGGGAGCTACTTACATAACTGCCGCACACACCCGTGGGTGCCGACTCATGCCTAGGTAGTCGTTACTGCACCAGACCGACACCTGCTTTTTGGTGATGAGAGAGTCCGAATAGTCATCTGCCATGGGGAAGATGTGTGCCCTCCGGTTCACGGTTTTAAAAACTCGGTAGGTGTGGTCATTCTTTTTCTCATCAATTTTCTTCTCAAAGAAACGATCATACTGAAAAGTGGAAACAGCTAAAAACCAAAGGAAACACAGCACAATCTAATGGTTAAGAAGCCATCTTGCTCAGAATCTGGGTTCAGTCAAAGACAGACCTGAGTTCAAACCCCAGCATGGCCACTCAGCAGCAAGGAGATTCTGGGCCAGTTACCCGGCGCCCTCACCCTGCGAGGGTAAATGAGGCCATCCATGTCAAGCACCTGCACTGCCCGGAGGGTGGCAGGTGGGTGTGAAAAGGGAGAGGGCTGGCTACCAGCAGCACATGCAGTCACCACAACCCGAAGCAGCTGGTCGCTCACGCAAGGGCCGGGCTTTCAGGCCTCCACTCCCTGTGCAGCTTTATGTCTCATGTACGTGTAAGTGTGAAACTCTCCCGCATCAGGGGAACGGCCATGAGACTTACATTTTGGCAAGTTATCTTGAAGAAGGTGAGACACTTTTTCCGGTCTTTGCTTTCGCATAATATCCTGGAAGTTCTTCAGCAGTCCACTGGGGTCCTCTCCGTCAGTCTTCACGCTAATCACACTCGCGTTCACTGAGCTTTGGGCAGCCTCTGCGACAAAAGCCAACAGGTGGCCAATGGAACTGACATTCTCCTTTGCTGTCAAAACGGCTTACAGCCTGGTTCACTCAAAAGCCACCACAGCTGGTTAGTTGTAACTGAGTATGTCAAGCATCTCTTCTATGTTAGTTATTGTAACAATCAGCTCCTGGCACTGTTTTGCTTCTGAAGCTACCAGCCTGCTTTATTTAAAAATTTAAAAAATTTTTAAAACAATGTATTTTTTTTTTGAAAGTCAGAGTAACAGAGGGAGAGAGAGAGGAAGAGAGAGATCTTCTATCTGCTTACTTACTTCCCAGATAGCTACAACAGCCAGCACTGGGCCAGGCTAAAGCCAGGAGCCAGGAACTTCATCCAGGTCTCCCAAGTGGGTGCAGTGGTCCAAGCACTTGGACCATCCACTGCTGCTTTCCCAAGCCATTAGCAGGGAGCTGGATTAGAAGTGGAGCAGCTGGGACATGAACTGGCGCCCATATGGGATGCCCATGTCACAGGTGGTGGCTTTACTTGGTATGCTACAGTCCAGTCCCTACCAGCCAGCTTTAATGAACACTGAAGTTCAAAGCTTTGTAGCTGGCTGGACACATTCTCACTCTACCCAAGCCCCCTGTCCTAACCTCAGTTTTCTAAAAGCAAAAGAATTTTTACTGCATCATTTCTGCTGGTAAGACTTTTGTGGGGTGGGTACCTTGGGTGCTATGTGGGTACAGTCAGAGCTGGAATTCAGGTTGCCACTCAAAGACCATGGGGTGCCCACAGACCTGCACTGACACCACTGGGTTCTACCTTTTCATCCTACCAGACTGGGGGAAGACCAAAGGGACCAAGGTAACTGGTGGCGGCTCAGGACTACAAAAGCTGGTCACATCCTACACACCTACCAGAAAGAAAGTCCCACATTTTGTAACACAGTCCTCTAACTGTCTATCTGGAGGATCTTCCTCCCTGATCCTAAAAGAGGAAGGTGTTTACACAAATACCATCCTAATAATAGCACAGACGCAAATCTGAGGGTCCCAGAGAGCCAAAGGCCCGCCCACCCTTGCCAGAGGCTGCCGCCTCAGCCGCTACCTTTCCTCACGGCATGTATTTCCTGCACGTCCTCCTGAAGCTCCAGGCTGGCTTTGCGGACGACACTGCTGCCCCCCTGGCTCATCTGTGCTGCCAAGAAAGGGCACTTGCTTCCAGCGCCCTGGCTCGAGGCTGGGGAGGGGTGTCCAGACGGAAGCTGTGTGCCATCTGCAGGCCGCTGGGAGCTGGCTGGAGCCTGCTGGACCTCGGCTTGGGCAGTTTTGTCTTCTGACAGAGGAAATGGAAAAAATGAACCATCAGATCTGGTTGCACAATATACAAGAAGGCCCACTAATGTTTTTCCTCTTATTGCCCCAAAGATAAACTTTATGCTTATTCCACCCCACAATCCAAACATAAACTTGTTTTATTAGGTTTTGTTAATCTCACTATTTTTTTTATTTGTCTCACTGGAAATAATGCCCCTATAAAGACTTACTTGGCAATTCCAATTACCTCACAGCACATAATAATAATAAATAATAAAGATACTATTTTCTATTTTTAGACAACTCGGAGTCCTCAAGTTGGATCATTTCCAGTAAATTCTACCCCAAGCACATTCAGCCTGTGTCAGGAGAGGACAGTCTCTCTCAGGGTGTTCGAAGTATCCACACAATTCTCTACTCACATCTTCTAAGCAGATTCTTGACCAAGAAGCATGCTGTTGCTTAACATGAAAACTACTAATTTTTTTCTGAATAAAAGAAATTAGACTAAAATGCAGGTCTCCAGGTTGCTGTCTGATGGAGTTCAAACTACCAGTATGCTAAGAAAAAAACCACAGGTATATCACCATTATCTACCTTACCTACGTTCTCATCTAAGACTTCCCTCTCCCCTTAAGAAAATTTGTTCCCCTTCCTTCTAGAAAAGCCTTCACATTCTGGAATACTGTTACTCAGTGGCTAGTCTTTCCTACATTGGACAAGGTGTTGCAATGGTTTCCATTAAAATCTTCTCTAAATGAAAGCCAAAAAAACTACTTTGAAGTTAATTTCATCAATTGCAAGTATAGCACATATTCGTTAGAGAAAGTCTGGGAAAAGAAAAAGAGACAAGCCTTACAATTTACAAACATTCTGGCAAAAAAGACATAGCTAATTCCTGAAACTAATCCTCCAAAGGATTAAATCCTTTCTACTTACAGAAAAAAAACATTCCTTTCTTCCAAGTTCACACCCAGACAACACACCTAACAGAAGGTAAAATATTCCCTAGGATTAAGTGAAATTGGAAAAGCTTTATCCTTTCCTGGCAGCACCAAACAGAAACTAAAGTCATCTACGCTCTCTTTATTACAAATAAAACAAAGGATTTATAAACAAAATAAGGTTATCTGTGTTTTAAAAAAATTAACAAATACTATATGATTCCACCTGTATAAGGCACCTAGAGTAGCCCAATTCATATAGACAGAAAGTAAAACAGTGGTTGCCAAAGTTTCACTCTGGGAAGGCAAAGTTCTGTAAAGGGTTGGTGGGCACGGTGCAACGAGAATGTACCTGCCACCACGCAACCATGCTCAAAAATACTTAAGGTGATCAATTTTATGTTGCGCGCATTTTACAACACAATTTTTTTAAAGAAAAAAATCACAACTTTAAAAGCCAAAGGTCAAAGATTTAATGAAGGAGAGGCTGGAACGCAGCATGTTAATTTAATGTTTATGCAAATAAGGCACATAGGAAACGCTGAAACGCTAAAACCAAGCCAGAAGAGACCTGTAATATGGAGCGCTGGCCGGTCTCATCTTTAAAGATGGGAAAACTGGAAGCGCCTACTTGGTGGGGTTAGGGCAACATTACCTGAGCTACCCAATGCCACAGCCCAGCCCTTAAACGCCCTTACCACTGTGCGCACTGGCCTGCCTCTGGCCAGTGCTGAGCCCACGCATCCCCACCGCCCCTTCGCCCACGCATCCCCACCGCCCCTTCGCCGCCAGACACTTACTCTCACTGGCCGGAGGGGTTTCTTTGATCTGCTGGCAGTGCCCCGCAGAAGTGGACAGGGCCCGAGGGGCTGGCTTGGCCCCAGCCTCCATCATCTTGGGGCAGTTTTGCGCATAGAACAACAGGGATTTGCCTGCCTTCTGCAGAAAGGCCTGGGGCACTCGAGATAAGAACGGGCAGCGGCGCACAACAGTCTCCATGTCCAGGGAGTGTGCTAGCTCCTGTAGAAAGAGGGCCGTCAACACTTGCTCATCAGGCAAACAGCACCGCAGGCTCACTGCCTTCAGGCATCCCCTGCGGTCCACACCAAGGGTACCCAGGGATACACACCTCACTCGAAAAATGTCTAAGGACAGCGCTGATGTGGACTGGGGACCACACTCTACCCAGGCCTTCAGGCCTCCTACCCTCCCCGGCTGTACACTAAAGCACCCCCAAAGCAACTCCACCCAATGAACACTGACAGTTAACAACTAAGGGGAGGGAAGGATGAGGGACAAGTCAGGAACAGGTTCGGGAGGCCGATTCGCAGCACACACTCAGGTGCAGACGTGAGCACGGGGAAGAGGCCGCGGTCATTCATTCAGGCGGGGAGGACTCCGAAAGATCTGGACTTTCTCCGGGTCCCCAGGCCCCCAAACCCAAGGACGGCGGCCAGCGGAGCCCTGGGTCGCTGAGGCATGGACTGCCCCGGGATCAGGCCCCACAGCCAGCACCGGACAGAACCGAGAGGAAGGGCATAAAGAGGGCGGGGGCGAGAGGGAAGCGTCAAGGGGCTGGGCAGGGGGGCATTAGGGGCTCTGAGATCGAGAGGCGGGTCCGGCGGAAGCAGGTGGTCCCCGGGGAGCTGGGGACCCGGGGTCAGGCGAGGTCGAGAGCCCGCAAGCAAACGGAGGGGTGCGTGAAGCGAAAAGCAGCCGGCAGGAGGGGGCCGAATGTGGGGGACCCGAGGTCGCCGAACTGGCTAAAGATCTGGACGGTGAGCGCCGAACCCACAGCAGCTATGACTGGGGCGGTGGGGGATGGGGTCCCAGCCGCCGGGAGAGAGGGGCCCGGGCTGGCAGGACGCGCGGGGACGCTCAGGGCCGGCGCCGCCCCCAGAACGCGGGCCCTCACCTGCGCGGGGCACTCTGCGAGGCGGCGGCCGCGGCGGCGGGCACTCAGGCCGAGGTGTCCACACGAACGCTTGCCCTTGTCGGCGAGCAGTCTCAGGCCGCGGATACTGCCGCCTAATATACAGCGGCGGGGAGCAGTGCGCATGCGCCCTGGGCCCGGCCTCCCTCGCGCAGGCGCGCCCCCTCTGGAGGCTGGGCGCGGCGGGCCCGCCTCCGTGAGGAGCGCTGAGCGGGCGGAGGCTGAGGCGGTCGGCCTCGGCTGGCAAATCCCGCGCTGGAGGGCCGCCGAGCGGCGAAGTCTTTTGTCCCGGCCTCGTCCCACACCCCCGCGGCCGCCTCCCCACTGACCATTGCGTCAGAACCCGGCGTTCGGCGCCGTGCGGCACACGGGGGCAAGGTCCTAGACCAAGTGCGGCCGGGGCCAACTGGAGACCCTATTTTTTGCCAAGTAGAAGTTTGGACATGTGGAGGGGGTTCCGGGCCGGGTCTCAAGCAGGAGCTGCCCCGCCAGGGACTTGCTGTCGCATCTGTCACCGAATCACCCAAAGACGGAGCGGTGCCGGCAGGGAGAGGCTGGAGAGTGGGGACCCAGCTGTGCAGACAAGGATGCAACCCATGTGCCCTGAGCTCTAGGGAAAGGGGAGGCCCAGGGCCTGCCACACAGTTAGTGTCCGACACGCATTCGCCCTGTTTTTGTTTTCCAGAGAGCTTGTCTAAAGTCCCTTCCTGGGCACCCAGGTGGGTGTCTGGGACTCCGTCCCAGAGTTCACAGCTGGGCCATGTCTCCTTTGAGTCTGTCTGAGACCACACCTGGGGGCAGGGCTTGGCAAACCCCTGACAGCTCCACACCCTCCCCAGCCTGGCTGGCTCTGGGCTGGGCTGAGCCTGTGCCAGGCTGGGAGCTGCCCTTTTCCACTCTGGGGAAAGGGTCATTCAGGTTGTTCCCTCCCCAGCGGCGGATTAATTAGAAGAGCAAAGTCCAGAGTGATGGTGACCAAGGTATGTTCAAGCACCGCCTGATCCCGTCTCTGAGCATCCAGCCCCTTGCAGGGCAGGCAGAGGAGGCATCTGGGTCTGGAGTGACCCTGGGAGTAGTCCAGTCAGGGATGAGGGCTCTGGCCCAGGAGTCCGCGACTGTGCTCTCCCCATGCTGGTGAGCCAGGGTGAGGAGGAAAGGGTCAGCCCTTGCACTCAGACCAAGGTGCAGGTAGAAGTAGGAGCAGGCTAAGGATGGTGTTGAGCGCTTTGCTTGTCTCTGGGCCTTGTTTTCTTTATCTGGGCAATGGGGTCATAGTCCCCATTCTCCCTGCCACCCAGGGCCGTTGGGGCGATCGAGACTAAGCAGAGGCAGGAAGAATGGGACACTGGCACTGGACGTGGTTTCCACGCGGCTCTGAATCTTATTTGGTCACGGCCTTTGGCAGCCACAACCTCTTGGAGACTCAGTTTCCTCACTGGTAGAGCTCTCCCGGCCCTGCCACTGGTAGTTGGCAGGAAGGTCAGACGCAGTCATGGATTTCAGAGGCGTGTTGTTTAAACTGACAAGCCTCCAGCCCTCCGGGAGTTTCCTGCTTAATAGAAACAAGGGTTGGGAAACAAGGCCGACTCACATGGAAAGTGAAATAGAATGTTACAAGCACTTCAGGTGGAGGAGAAGGCAGGCGCTAGAGGAGGGAGTCCCAGTCCCCGGGAAGCTTCTGGAAGAGACGTGGATCCTGGCTGGGCTCCGGGAGGCCACTAGGGCAGCTTTGAGGTTGAAAAGCCCAGGCCTTTTGGGATGGGGTGGGTGGGGTAGGGTGTCAGCTTGAATAGCTGTCCTGCAGGTGTATAGCCAGAGGATGGGACCAGAAGTCACGAAGGCCCTAAGTCATCCACAGGGCCTTCCAGTGTCAGGGCCCAAAGAACCACCAACAGGGTACTGACCAATGCATGCTCCTGGGTCACAGTCCTTTGATCCTGAACCAGGAGTCTGCATTTAACCAGACCAGCCTTCTGGTAATGGGAGTCTGGGATTTACTGCCTGAGTGGTTCGAGATTTGAGATGTTGATGCAAGGCTAGCGTCACAAGTTCCACTCCTGACTACGACTTTCTGACTGTGAGCTCTTGAGCAAGTTGCCCCATGCCTTGAGCCTGTGTGTGTGTGTGTGTGTGTGTGTATCTGAGAGGTGGGAGTAACGGCACCTGCCTTTGTCGTGAGTCTGGGTGGCCCCTCTCCTGGGCTGCTGCTTCCCATCTCTGTCCTCTCCCATTTCCCTTCCTTCCCCTCTGTCTCTCTCTCTCCCTTCCCTCCTTCCTCTCTTCTCCCTTTCTGCAGAGCTTACAGTACAAACTTGTCCCATCCCCTGCCCTGGCCCTGGGCAGGGGAGCCCAACCTGCAGGAGTTCAGGCAAGGTCAAGCCTCTTTCTGGGGATGACGCGGGGGGCTTTCCTCCGACCCACCCAGTCTGCGTCACCCCTGTCAGGGGCTGCTGCACAAGCTACCCGCCCAGCAGTCAAGGCAAGAGGACATTGTCAACCGCTCCCCAGAGTTGCCCCTTCCTGCCCCGGGGACCAGGAGCTGTTTTTAGGAGTGCTTCTTGTGAGGGCCAAGGAGCTTGGTCAGGTCCAGCTTGTTGCCTTCCTCTGGGTGGGCCTCAGCTTCTCCATCTGGCAGCCACCTCCTCAGGGAGACTGCAGTACACCCGGGCACCTTTGAAGGCAGACAAAACCTCAACACTGTACTGCTGATCATCAGGGTGGCCTTGGGCCTGTGGTGCTCTGTGGGTGCCAGTGCCCTCCTCTACAGTGGCAGGTGGGAGGCTGGCCTTGGGAGTGGCCAGAGGTTCTGGAAACAACTCTGCTCTGCCCTGGAGGTTTGGAGGCTTATGCTGCAAGGTTTACAATGAAGGGCCCAGGAACCATCATATGAGATGAGATTTGGGAAGGCCCAGAAGCTCCAAGCCCCTGTCTTGTCTTGCACTGTCTTTGGAATCCCTTTCTGGCTCTGGCAGACAGTGGGCAGCCTGGGAGGGTGGTGGCAGCCTGGGCCTGGATTTGTGAAGCCAGGTATGGGCAAGGGTGGGCTCTGGTTGTGAGGGAAGCAAGGCACTGGAACAGAGCAAAGCCATGGAATGCTGCAGGAGGCAAGGCTGAAGTGGGGTTCACAAGGAGCAGCACCCCCCATTCTAGAGAGTAGGAAATGCCCAGAGAGTCCTCCAGGCCTCACAGTCACGGAGGTCCAGACGTGTTCCATTTGGTCCATATTATGCTTGGCTTTGTTTGTAAATGCCTTTATTTTTAGACAAACCTACATGACGTTTTTCTTAAAAGCAATGCTTCCACTCCAAATAAATTGTGGTCAAAATAAAGAGGAGCTCAGGATGACATCAGTCCCATTTGTCTGAAGTCCCGTTGTGCGGATGACACACGGGTGGTAGAGCCAAAGTCATTGCCACATTTGTCAACATTTCTCCATTTCTAAAGCACCCTTGAAGATCAGCCAGGGGGGTGACACCATTCTCCCAGTGGCTCCCCAGAACAGCCCTGCTCTCTGGGCACCTGTTTTCACTCGTGGAGAACTGGTCGATTTTTTTTTTTTTTGGACAGGCAGAGTGGACAGTGAGAGAGAGAGACAGAGAGAAAGGTCTTCCTTTGCCATTGGTTCACCCTCCAATGGCCGCCGCGGCCGGCGTGCTGCGGCGGCGCACCGCGCTGATCCGATGGCAGGAGCCAGGAGCCAGGTGCTTTTCCTGGTCTCCCATGGGGTGCAGGGCCCAAGCACCTGGGCCATCCTCCACTGCACTCCCTGGCCACAGCAGAGAGCTGGCCTGGAAGAGGGGCAACCGGGACAGAATCCGGCACCCCGACTGGGACTAGAACCCGGTGTGCCGGCGCCGGTAGGCGGAGGATTAGCCTAGTGAGCCGCGGCGCCGGCCAACTGGTCGATTTTGAAATTGGCAAGGGTGGGCTCCATTTGTTCTACAGCCCTCGTGATAAAAGGCTTTCGTTTTTGTGGTCCCCGTTCTTGAAGTTTGCTTTTGATTGCCTTCACGTACTCTCTGGTGTGCACCTTGTGGGCTTCTGTGATGACGCTGGTGACCTGCTTCATGACAGTGTCAGCACAGGTGATTGCTGTGGCTTTGGTGCCTTCTTCCTCTGGGCCTCCAAAAAAGGCTTTTACTACGGGATAAGTCCCTCAGTCAGGGGCCGAGCAGTGCCCCTGGCAGTGCCAGCCTCCGCCCTGCTGAGCAGCGTCCCCTCTGCCTCCAGGCACCGCCTGGCCACGATCTCCTGGATCTCGTGGATGTCAGGGAATACTGTGTTGTGGCTGATGTGGTCCTGGTGGATAATTACAATGGTGGCTGCAGGGAGCTGATGGTGGCACCTTCTTGGCAGGAGTCCTGAGTGGTGCTCCGGAGGAGCAGGTGGCAAAAGAACTGAGCGCATTTGGAAATGTGAGCTAGTTGTTCATGTTTAATAATTGGGAGATTTCTCATCAAAACTCAGATTTCCAGTTCTTTGGGGAGTCAGCAGACCCCGGGCTCCTGGGCTGGCCCAGGCAGGATGTGCTGTTTCCAGCTCCCAACTGGCCCTTGCTTCACTAGGTCCCGAACCCTGAGGCAGTGGTGCCCAAGTAATGACTGCTGCCTGTGTCCCTGTAAGCATCAGGGTGGGTTTCAACCCTGCGTCATTCTAGAGCCAGGGAGACCAAGACCCAGACAGGGTGGAGGACTTGCTTGAACTCACACAGCCAGAGACACTTGGGCTGCAGGGGGTTGGGGGGGCATGTATCCTGCTTCCTAGTCCCACATCTGGTGTTTGGAGGAACGTGTGGGCAGGCAGCTAGGGAAGGGCTCAGCCAGCAGTGAGGGGCGCCCTGGAAGAGCCTGGCCCCAAAGTGGGTTCCCCAGGAGAATGTCCTCATCTTTCCCAGCCCAGGGTATGGGTCAGGCCAGTGAGGCCCCTCCAAGTGTCGGAACCAGAGGCAGGCGACTGGAGTAGGCCAAGTGCTGGCTCCCCAGGGTGCAGGAACAAATGTCAGGAAAGGAGCTGTTAGAGGCTGCGGCCAGCCTGGGCAATGGTGCTAACAGAACGGTGCTGAAGGGGTGCTGATGTCAGAGTTGGGGCCTGGGGTTGAGGCGATGCCACCAGGGACAGAGCAGCCAGGCTGGGAGCCCCAGTGAAGGTGAAGAGGTGGCACAAGGTGGCTGGGGAGGCTGGAGCCAGAAGAGCAGGGGAGTAGGAGAGGCGTGTGGCCGAGGTGGGTGGGGTGGACATTCAGGGTCCCTCCGCTACCAACAGTGCGGGTCTCAGCCAGGGCAGCGGCTCATTCCACTGTGGCCTTGTATGCATTTAAAAGCTAACCCAGCACCCCTTCTGCGCAGATGTGAGGGACCTGGACCAAAAGGGGAGAGGGCTGGTGCGGAGAGTGAGCCAGGCTCAGGGTGGTGCGGGGTGGGCAGGACCAATTGGAAGGCTGGGAAGATGACAACACGGTTGGCAAGTGCGGCACCTGGGCGGCTCTGTTTGGATGTTTGGTCTGACGCAAAGTTATGTGTACAAACTCAGGGCCCCTCGAGGCATCCGCTCAGCTCAGTGAAGTCGTCAGCCCATATACAGGACAGAGGCTCAGAACAGTTAAGTCATTTGCCCAAGGTCACACAGCCAGCAAATGGGGAGCATGTGCCTTCTGATCCAGTGTGTACCCCAGGGCTGGGGCTGCCTTGCGGGTCTGCAGTCTCAGTGGGGGTGTCTCC